CGGCCAGGCCAGGACTGAGGGAGACTTTAGCGTGCTTGCCTTCCCGCTCCCGGACCCGCTTTTAGACGAAAGCCCCTGCCATAAAGCTTGAGTGAGGCAGCTCCTTTACATGAGTGGACACCCTTGAGGGCTTTTGCGGGTGACACATCAGCCATTGACACAGGCATGGACCCTTGATTAGGACAGGTTGGATGTGTGATGGATCGATATCATTAGTCGGGTGCAGACTTTCAATTATGGGCAGGAAATAAGGAACTTCGCCTTATTCCTTACTACTCAATAAAAGTGGGCTGCCCTTGGGCATAAGGAGAGCCAAACAAAGCCACGGATTAATTAGATCGGGCATGACTGTTGCTGAAGGTCCATTTTGGAATTTGCCACCCGGTTTGCAATTGTTAGGTGCCGTTGCGCTCCTATGGACAATGTGTGATCTCCAAGAGTAAAGGCAGAGGGGTGTAGTGTGACACTTTATACACACAGCAATTTTTAAAAGCATGCTTGTGGCTTTTCTGCATTTTACAATCTTGATGTGTTTTTCCTCTATATAACTCAACAGGAACAATACAAAGAGGCAGTTGGCTTAGAGACTGTAATTTTATGCTTTACCACTAATTTTAAGGCCAGCCTTACAGGTTACAGAATAAGAAGGGTATGCATGAAGAATTTTCCCTGTTTATTTGAACAGTAATATACAATGGGATTGTATAGTTTATGAGCCAAGCAAGAGACACTTTGCTGCCGAGGGACTTTCCTTCCAACAGCAAAAAGTGGGGGGAAAAATTGAACTACATTGGATTTTCCAAAATAAGTGCTGCCTGTATGGTGGATATTGCCATTGCTTTATCATATCAAATTAGCAGTTCTTCACTGTTCTCCGAAACAAACAACTGCTGAAAGAGGTACCCATGAACTTAAAAAAAAAAAAAAAAAGATTCTCCAGTCTTTTTACTTTGTAAAGGCAACATACTGGAAATGTAGAGTGATGTGCTCTTTATGAGGACAGTGAGGAGCAGATTTCAGAAGTGTGAATATTGTGATATATTATTCTCTCAGAAAGAATGTCAAGTCGTCGTATCACTCCGCCATGTGACAGGCGGCAGCTTCCATGGGGCATGAGTGGCGTGGGCTCACCCACCGGTGAACTGCGACCAATGCGATTACCATTTCTTGAAGCCGATGTGAGTAATGCTGTTCTTTTGGATTGGGGTAACTGGGCATGCTGAAGTGTAAATACCATAAATATCAAAGAAGATACTGTATGCTGAAGATTGAACATAAGAAAAATCCTGCTAGATCCAACCAAAGCCTCTTGTAATCCAGTATTTTTTTTCTACAGATATCCCTGAAAACCTTTAAGCAGGTCATATTTATCATAGGATCCTCTCCTCTTTCTCAGCAAATGATACTGAAATGTGTGCTGTTTAATAGAGGCCACATTCTAGAGCCATCATGAATGATAGCCTAACACATGCACATCGCTGAAATTTTCTATGGTTGCAAAACTTTGGAGTGACCTGCTTGAATTTACTAATATTTCAACTAAATATGTGGAGAACTGGGATTCACATCTATAGCTAACTTTTCATTCTTCTCCCAGATTCAAATTCTCTCAGATCCAAAGAACTGATTGGATTTTACTTCTAAGAATTCCTAGGAGGAGACTGGAACTTCCTTAAAGAAATCCCTTATTTAAGAAGATGCAACCTGTTCCTCACCCTTTAAGCTTCATTGCACATTATAGATATGACACAGAATCATAGCATTTCATAAAGTACAGTAAGCCCCAAGCTATCAGATGTATTTGACAGACAGTTCCCAGCATTCTGTCTGGCAATAAAACCTGTAATATATACAATACAGACCATTAGCTTCAGGGCCTTTACACTGGTATTTATTTAATTTATATAGCTGCCCAATTCAAGCAATATGACTCTGGTTTGTGGCATACAAAAATCACTAAGCAAAATATATAACAATGCATGCCATATTATTTTATTATTCCATTGCGATAGATTTCAAGCTTATATCCTGAATTAAATATTTTGAATTGAAAAGGAATTAATTGTTTGACATAACCTTTTGCTAGGGATCAGGTAGTCGGTGTAGGTACCCATGATTATTACATGAAGCCCACCTCAAGCTGACAATTTGGGCTCGTGGTGGTGCCAAAAGCTTTGAACCTGTGATTGTAATGGTGATGTTGTGCAGACATGTGCACTGATCCGAGTCCAGGTAAAAATCATGGATCCAACTTTTTTCCTTCTTTTGGGTACTGCTCCTCCACATTTTATTAACGGGATTGCTTTTTTTTTTCCTGGCAAGTCTTGTATGTCAAACAGAAATTAAAGAGTGGGACAGTTTCTCCAGGATCGAGGGAGTGATGCGGAGAACGCCGACTTTCTGCCCGTTAAAGAGTTCTCACGGGCCCAGTCGCCCTGCCAGAGCAAAAGGGAGAACGTTCGCCCAGGAAGTCCTCATTCCTTGCTCCTCTTTTCCTCCGCCCCGGGCTCGGTTTCAGCTGAGAAAATCAGGTTCTGTCGGGTTCGTCATTTCCAGCGTCAGAGCGCGCGTCCAGCGTAGCAATCTCTGGGTCTTGTGGGATTGATTGCCTTTCCCTTCTTCCAGCCGCGGCTTCAATCGATGTGCGGAGGCTCGATGCAGCAGCCTGTTCGACGGAGCGGTCCTCGGGCCAGACTGCTGC